TCCCTCGTGCATTAGAGGTGTTTTTGAGAAACATTAAAAAACACGGTTTATTAATACACAAAACAAAAAAATAATATGGTCGATCATATTATTGGGCAACGCTGACGTTTCGGCTCGTGTCTCACCTGAGGAGTGCTAGTGCGACGGTACGAACTGAAACGTCGGTATTGACTGACGCTATGTAACACGTCGTGTCGATTTGCAATTACTCACCGATGAGTCGGGTCGACCGGGACCGCTTGACCATTGGTCGGCGTCTTTCCGAACGCTGCAGCGATTGCAGAACTTGTCGCTCAGCAGTGGTGCGTAGCTGTACATGTGTTTGAGACCCAATCGGCTGGAAACCACCGTTCTGAGGCAGTAGAGCAATGCGGCCAGGACGGCGACCAGCAGCGCGGTGACCGCTACCGTAGCGGCGCTGTTCATGACCGTTGACTTGACCAGTGAAAGATAGCACGGCAGAGGTCAGGCACCGGCTACACACCAGGTGACCAGGTGACGACGCCAAACATAGCAGACGTCGACGCGACCGGGTCAGCACCACGCTTCGGCGGGCAACTGCTCCGGTGGACGGCAGGCGAGTGGACAGCGGTCATTCGAAGACGGACCTTTAGCTGAATGGTGTCAGGCAGCTACCTGAAACGAAATAAATCACCGGACATGACTGAAAGCTTCGACCTTTCGTCAAAATGGTCAGCGGTAGCCGACGCGACGCGACGCGACACGACGCGAAGGCGTGGAATAACGTCAAGAGACTGCCGTTGAGAACACTCAGTCGGCGTTTACGCAATAGTGGCCGGAAGAAGTCACGTTTCATCGACGTAGCGTGAGGTGCTGTCACAGAATCACTTGCCGACAGTCGGTGGACGAGCTCTACGAGAAGGTGGCATTCGGTGATAGGTCGATGGCTCAGTCACTGCAAGAGCGCCTTGCTTTAAATCGAATAATTGACCTAACAGGACCATGGCCATCAACAATGGACGGTAAACCTGGCAGGCGCATCCGTTTCAGAATCTGTCATCGAAAAATCTGTTCATACGGGAGATCATGTTCTTCCAAACAGCGAAAAATGACCATTGATTATATATCATTCGTCAACCATTTGTCATACAGACTTTGTGTGGTTGGTGTATGATCCTTGAAACACATAGCCGTCAGTGGAGGGACTGTGATTTCAGCCGTTTGTTCTGTTACTGTGACGCTGCTTGTCACGCAGCCGCCGCTGATTAATCGTATCAGCTCAGCGTCTTCAGAAATTACGAGGTGTTACCTGAACTCTCGACAAAATTGCAAAAGCCATTAATTATTCTTGTGAATACTGCGCTCGAACAGAGTCCATGAGTTGCACACGGCCTCGACCGATCGATGATCATTCTCATGGTCATCACGACCACTGCCCAACGCCGAGCACGTTTTCGCGACTGCTCCTGCCTCGTAGGCACCGCACCCTGACAGACCCAAATAATTGTTCAAAGTGATATGCTTCCAATTTCATTACGCCTGATGGTCCAGCTTCATAAGAAATGCGAAACGTTGCCTGTAGGCGATTGCACCGCCGCTATAGGATGGATAAAGTAACTCGCCATGCACTGAGGTCCTGGGCTTCCATGGACTTGCTGTACTTTTTCAAATTTGGTGACCTCTAAAAATCACATCGGTCTTCTCTGGATTATCACTGAACCAACCTGGAATGCAGCCCGTTGTCATTGCTTTCACGCAGGCAGGACCCCACTGCTTCGTTCTGAGGTCGTGAATAAGACTTTAAGCGGCACAAATGACATACGCCCCGTCTGTCTGTCCACACTCATGTGGAATAGCGGGAAGTCATTGCACTCTGTTCTGAGGATTTCGATACGATTATTTATCCTGTGTCAACGTCAAGCAGGTCATCGCAGGAGGAAGGAAGGAAAGTCGGTAATCATTGAAATGTCCACACTTATGTGATTATGTAATTTCTGGCAGTTTTCTTTGCGTGGAGGGGTGCAGATCACTATTTCAATGTCATCATCCAGAAATGCCCTAATTTTTAAATGCAGAATTTACAGCAGCTACGTGGCAAGCAGAGCGCGCAGTCTTCTGTTTCTTTTCAGCAGGGCAGCATTCAGTTATAAACTTCGGAAGGAAGAAAGGTGGGTGAATCAAACGGACTTTCAAACCACGATAGCTCCAGTTCGCCATGTGGAACAACTGACCTAATCAACGCCAAACTTACCTTTATTTTGGCAAAGTCTTTCACAAAGAATCCCTTTTCACCTGGCAGGAACATTTTTCACTTCTAACGGTGGTAAGAATAATAATAATAATAATAATACGTGTCATCGAAATACATTCTTATAATGCATTCCTATTTAATTTTGATGCTGTTGATTCAGTGGTTATAGAAATTGGCAGAAAAGCTCTGCTTAAGTCTTTAATTTGATGACAACGTTTTGATCACAGGGTATGGCAAGCAGTTTATTCTCGCAGCCACCTCTCCCCTACGGCGTTGACTAGATATCTTCACTATACACTGAAATACAGTAATCATGACTATCTAGACTTGAAGACCAGCAGCTGACATTGTGCATAAAAACATGTTATGAAATACGTGATTGCGATGAACATTATGACCGCGAATAAATGCCCTGCCCTGTTCAGAATAGTCCCAACGCAAATGTGCAAGTTCTGATAACACCTGAATTCTGGATCTCTACAATTTCTTTGTGAAAGTTGCCTCTAAGGGATTTGTCATATTTCCTTCATTCAGAGACAATTTTCATCGAACGTCGTGCTGCTCATGCAGTACATACTCATCTTTTTTTGGAAGGTAGAGGCAAGGTGTACTTTTTTTAGGATTAATAATGAGGTCGCCCATTCCCAAACCCATTGTTCGGTTCATGACCAAAGAATCCTTCTCGTAGGTAGATCTGTTTCTAAGACATAAGGAATTCTGCCATAGCCTCGTTAGCCGACCACATCAGGGACAGGCTTCAATTTTTGCCCATAAACCCCATGGTGCTGGGGTCAATTATTCCTTTTCTCCAGATTGGAAGGTCACATCTGCGATGGTTTGGACACGCGTTGCGAATGTTTTCATGGAGGAAGTCGACATAGCTACAAATTTGCGAAACCGATCGGCCGAAGATTTGGGGTGGGGTGGCCAAGAATATCCTGGGGCAAGTGTGTGAAAGGATTGTGTTTCAGGCTCGGATGAATTTCTGCCGAAGCTCAAACACTGGCACAGGATCGGGAACGTTGGAGTTACTCTTTTAAGCGAGTGCCTCCGCGATCCGAAGAGATAAACGGTCATCGAACCTGACTCGAAACTCAGACTCTGGAGAATAGGCGATTCATCACGCGTGCCCCGTCATGCAATGACTTATTTCGGTCGATGGTCTCCCCCACACTTTCGTGACTGAAAAGCGAGGATGAATTATGGAGAACGCATCTATTGCCATCACGGACTTTGCTGTAACGAAGCGTAGCAACTCGAAGAACCGCGCCACACTGAAGATCAGCAGTCTCGAAAAGCCAGACCATTGCACTTTTGCCCCAGAGAGTAGAAAAAGGTCTGGTAAAGGGATTGTGTTGCAGAGCAATGCATTGTGAATGGCCTGAACCTGATCCGGTATGACGGCGATAAGGGTTAGGCATAAATCCGGTATCGATCGGTTAACTGGGTTAATAAAATTTTGATCTGCCTATAGCTACCGTGATCACAGTTCAGGAGAGAAGGATCATTGTCCATTTTCCGTAAAAAAACTAAGAAGCATCAGCATGATTTATTTTTCATGGTACTGCCGGCACTTTTAACTTAGATTTATGAGTCACTGATTGTTACAGTCCGATGTTACATGACGATACCAGGAAACGGAGAATGCGAGGTCCTACTCCTGCAAAATCGAGTCTAAAGAGTGCTGACATAATTGTACGTCATGTCGCCGTCGCTTTGAACGGAAAATGACAGTTGTCATTGTCACTTGGTGGCTCATGCTAAGAATAGAGAAGAAGCAAAGTGTACGGATTACATTTTGTTTTTTCTCATTTGCTGAGTCAACAATAATTTTTTCCTCCCAAATACCAGCACGTTTAGTATTATTACTTCTCTACTTTCGTCGTAAAAACGTTCGTTCACTTCG